ATATTAAAAAGGTTTCGAATAACAACGAGTAAAATATTTGTACGACTAACAACCTCAAAAACGTTCACATTCATATTACTGAACGAAACACAAAAGTCACTTAATTTTTCAAATTGAACGTGACCGTGAACTACGTTTATACTATTAATTTTTATGAATTTAAATGATTTTTCARACGCTAATCTATATATTGTTTAATACGAACGTGAACGAGTTCCTTTTTTATGGATTGAACGTGACAAAAGAACACATTAATTTTTTTGGTCAACATTCCGAACACTTATATCCTAAAAATACAACTAAACACAAAATTGGTTTATAACTAAACCATGTTCTCGGACTGTCACAGTTTAGAACATTCTAGTAACGTGGTATCACGAATCACGAGAGTCTGACACTGCGACATACTACATACTATCAGTTTTTAAACAGGAAAATATAAAATGCGTAATTTAATTTCAATTTTTTTGAGAATTTTTTTTTGAAGTGTCGGTAAAAAAATGTTGGACGATCAAAAAAACTTGAAAATTTAATACAAGGCTCCTTATCAGTTGTACTTATTGTAGCTAAAAAAAATTAAAAATCGTAAGTCACAATTTTTTTAATAAGCGTTTATAGTTCAACATTTTACGAAATCTGTCGAAAACGCGAAAATTTGCAAGTAATTTTGAAGTTGAAAAATCATGAAAATTTTTGYGTTTATAACTAARGATTAAAAATACAACACTAAATTTTCYATAAGTTTTCCTTCAAGTAGCTATAGAGAAAACTCGAARCATCATTATAGGAAAAATTTTAAGTGCGTTTGAATTTTAAATTTTTACGAAATAGTGTAACGATAACGATTTATCCTCAAACGATTTTAAATATTTTTAATTATTCAAAAAGTATAAGTCGTAGATACTTGAAAATTTCACAAGTTATTTAGATTGGCATTTTCTTTACATGATTTAATTTTTAAAAATATTTTGACTTTTTTTGAGATATTTATAGACACCTGAAATCTTCAATTTTTCTGAAAAATTGTTTTTGAAGTGTTGATAAAATTTTTTGGCCCAATCAAAATACTTGAAAATTTAATACAAAGTTCCTCATGAGTTATTCTTATAGTAATTAAAAAATTATATAAATACAAAGGCACAATTTTTTTTTTATTAGCATTTGAAGTTCAAATATTGACTTAATACGTAAAAATTACGGCAATTTTCAAATTATCTTAGATAGAAATTCATAAAAGTTTTTCTTTTTAGATCTAAGATTTGAAAATTTAATACAAGGCTCCTAAAATATTTTTACAATAGCAGTTGAAAAATAAAAGAAATATATAGTCATACATTTTTTTTATAAGCATTCAAAGTTTKAATTTTGACAATATATTATGTAAAGATATAGATTTATGACAGATAAACCGTCTCCGTTATTCAGAATCGTTTTTCGTATACAATGATACCTATCATTGCATTCAAAAATTAATCTACCTTAGTCAGAGGTCCACCCCACCCCCAATGTACAGCAGAGCGATACCCACTTACCCGCTTTTTTAGTATATTATTATATAAATATATGATAATGTACCCCTACATAATACGAATAATTTGCGTATAATTAAATAAATATATTTTTTGTATTAGTAAAACTTTATAGGATAAGCGTTGTATATATTCAAATCTAGTTATTGTGTTTGATTGCAGTATTTTATATTTCATTCAAAATTATCCTCAAACTCAACTAGTATACTATTAGTTTCCTAGTTCCGGACTCAATTAGTGTATTATATTTTTCCGGTTCAAGTATATGGACTTAATTGGCATACAGTGACGATTAAGGTTCCCGAAGTATTATTTGGACATAACTTACATTTTACATAATATATAAAAATATCAATTAATTTTAAATAGGTTTTTATTTTATATTGATGAGTTTTGCATTTTAGGTTTTCATAAAGACATAAATTTAAATTAATATATTTTAAAATCTACTCACTAGGATATTTTTATGAAATATATATATATAAAAAAAAAACATTACTATGCAGTAAAATGAAGTTTTATTTTAAAATATACATATTAAGTCAAAAATATGCAAACCAATATTTAGTTTTTGAACTCATTTGGTTGTGATTCAAATTTATAGCTGATCCAGCAAGTTTTTTATGTATAGGAACTTAATAAAATGTAGAAACATGCAAATGCACGAACTCCCGGATCCTAGATCACTAATAACACTAAATATCAATAAAGTAATAAGGCGTAATAACGTTTAACTAGGTAATCAAAATGGATATATTTTTTTTACAATTAAATTTCTCACTTATATTTTCGGAATAGGTTAGGTTAGGTATTACACAGCCAGTAGTGAAACAATAATCAAACCGAATAGCGTTGAGTGCTCTGTTGGTTATAAGTTATATCTTATAGACTGAAAGTATACAACTATTATTAACTCGACCTTTATGGATTACATTATACCATTATGATAAGTATATAAAATGAATATAATCGAGTATAGGTACGTTATAATACTTAATCGTAGAACGAATGCGTTTATGTGGTACTGATAAAAATACTATAGTTAATCTATGTTATGTAATTATACGTTGTATCTTGTATGTACGTATGGATCATCTACTATAATATTATAGTATACCAGTATGGCATAATTATCGTATACCTAATAGGTACGGCAATAGATATTATCAACTATTGCCAAATTATTACTATCATTAGTAGCAGCAGGTATAGGTATCTAGACATAATATAAAATATAATGATTATTATATCTATCATTATATTTTCAAGGTAGAACTATTTAAATCTAAAGACTTGGTTGTAGGAAAAATAATAAAATCGACTTCTGACGGAGGATTTTGACTAGCAACTGTTTGAAACAGAAACAGTTTTTCAATTGACCGTCGTCTGCTAGCAGATACCTCCTGAACCCCTAATACCAGATTCTCATTCTACTGACCAAAAGTACCAACAGCGACGTCTTTCACTCTTATGTRTATTTTATTTATTAAGAGTATTTTTCACAATTTTTTTCATCCTGATTTTCAAGTATCAAGTTTTGTTTTGCGAAACACTGTATGCATTTGGCTGGTAATTTTTATAGGTACATATATTTTATTGTAGACTTAAAATAATAATTCATAGGTTATTATTATTCCGTTCCTACAATATTCATTAATATTGTTTGAATTCAAATTAAAAATTATTTTGAAATTAAACTTTTATGAAGATAAATCAGTTTATTATTCGATCAGTTTAGCATCAATGCAGCATTAATTATTATATAGGTATATATTATACTATAAGTTATTAGTAAGCTGTTGTTATATATTTATAAATTTATAGCTTACAATATTGGATAATAATAAATAATAACATATAAGTTAATAATAAATTATATATATTATATATATCGAGAAAATAATTGGCATACATAATTATATATATWTTTAATACTTTTTAATACCAACATTTTAAAATAAATGAAATTCAAAMATTTTAAGCTTATTTATAGCTTATAATTAGTCTAAATATTGTACACTTATGAAAATTTTGGATGATAATGATWAAAGATTTTTCTGTATTTGATTCATCTTGCGATTATGTCACACTGTTGAATTACTAAATATTACAATGTTTTTTGCCTATACAATACGCCTTAAAAGGATGCAACGCATTTGTTGTCTTCGCCTTAAAAACGTACGACATATCATATTTTTGTTCAGTAGTTTCAATAGTGTGCTGTAAGTATTTACATTAGATTGACCTATCATCAAACTTGTAGGTTTAAAACTGAAAATATGAAATAGACCAAATTTAATACTTTAAATAGTAAATGCATAGAGATAGTTTCTTTCCCTTTTTAAAGAGACATACTCGTACTTTAAAATTAATAAGAAAACATTTGTTTTTCTCTAGTCGATCGTTCAAAATATAATTATAATTTTTACAATAACATTTAACGGCTTAAACAAACCCAATATCCGTAAAATTGTTCTAACTCATTAAGTACGAAATACCAAAGAGGCATTGCCTTTTTATTTTTTTTGAGAGAGGAGTGATAGACTAGTACAGTAGTTGATGCTTACGGTGTTAATTTTGGGTAATGATCACACTTATGATTCATAAAGATCATGTAATTTTTCCTATAGGCAAGCCTGGATTAGTTATACATTTTTAAAAGTTAATATTATATTACAGTTTGAGTTAAAAGTTATCGTTATTTATTTTTAACTTGAAAAAGTTAGAAGTTAAGTAAAAATAATTTAGCTTCACATTTGGATACAATCTATGACCAACTATAATTAGCTTAAGTGTTGAACCGTCCAGAAATACGGGATTTAAATATATATATACTATACATCTCAATATATTATTAATCACGATTGCATAAAAAATACAGTTTACATTTGCAGAATTATATTATTTTAATGTAAAGTGACAAAGATTGTCCATTAACATTGTGGGCATTTTGTACACTCTATATAACACCCGTTGTTCCTTTTTCCATTTATGATCAAACTCACATATCAAACCTATTTAAAAATCCATTTTCATAATCTAAAATTTAGAATCTTTACACCACTCTCGTCAATTCTAAAGTAATAGCCAGCCTCATACCACCCTTACAATAAGTCCCCGGCTGTTCATCCTTTAAACTTTATCATTGTATGTAATTGATTCTAATACACAYCAGTACTGACTACTGAGAGGTATAGGTTCATCGTTGTTAAAATATAATAATAATTTATCTACAATGCATTATAATTATACTTTAATTTGCAGTAAAAATTGTATTATTGAATTTCTGAGGTAGTGCTGGCTATTTTAATTTTGCTATAGTTAATATTAATATTTKTTTACATCCAAACAAATTGACAATAATTGTTTTATAATATTGTTGTGTAGTTTTATCAGTGAAATTTGATGTCCTAACTTGAGTTCTAATATACATTTACTTATTATAAATTATAAATTTATCAATTAATAATTATGCGTGAAATATGTCACTTACAAGCTGGTCAATGTGGAAATCAAATTGGTGCAAAGGTAATATAATATTCCAGGTTCCATGTAATGTATATATATTGTAAGACCCAACTTTCGAGTTATAATCAGCATAAAAATAATTGTATAATATATTGCCATAAACATACAAAGTTGTATAATTATTAAAAACTACGGTTACTAATTTAAACAATTATTTAGTTTTGGGAAGTAATATCCGATGAGCATGGTATCGACCCAACTGGATCATATCACGGAGATTCCGATTTACAGTTAGAAAGAATCAATGTTTATTACACCGAAGCACTTGGTAATAATCTTTTTTAGCAAATATTTAACAGTATAATACAATTTGAATACCGAGTGGCATAAAAAACTGATAAATTTAGTAATAAAAAGCTYGATTTTTTCTTTTTGCTGCACGGAAAAATATTTGATGTGTTTATTTTACATTTTATTTTAATTTATAAAATAAACTACTAAAACATTCTAATCTATAAAAAAATCTAGCTTATCGCGTAATTAAAGACGACTTAACAAAATAATATTTATTTATATGTCGATGTTTGGTTAAAATTGCAACTGTAATGCGAATTAATCTAAGTGTTGTTAAGAAAATAATCAATATAATCTAATAACGACTATATTTTGATATTATACATAATAACGAGTAACTATTAAATTAGAAAATATAATTTTAGTTGATGTTTGGTATGACAACTAYAATGGTAAAAAAAATTATTTTGTATACAACCAAAAAACATACTTTCATTAAAATATTCTTTTGTATTACGTGTGTTGGGGAAAATTATCCTTAAAATAATTAGATCACTCATACATTCAAAAAATGTAATATCCCACACGCAGTTTGGCTTCAGGTCAACTTACTCGGCAATACACCAAATACATAGACTTATTGTTAAAATTTAAACTTAATTTGAAAATAAAGAATACTACCCCAGGGTTTTCCTAGATATGGCCCAAGCGTTTGATAGAATCTGGCACGATGGCCTCCTCTACAAATTAAAATTATTCCTCCTAGCGTCATACTATCTAATAATCTGATCTTACCTCTGCGATCGTAAATTTGGAGTTTGACAAAGCTACTCAATATTTTCTTACTTTCCGGTGTTCAATAGGGAAGTAAATTGTTGCCTGATTTACTTAATATAATATACATCAGATATTCTAAAAACAGTTAACACGACCATAGCAACTTATGCAAATGATACACCTAAACTATATCTCAAGGAGTCGAGATTGTTATACGACTTAGCTACTCAGGTAAAATGTTTGAGTATTTTACTTGTCAAAAGATTAATCTGAGGCCTACTTTTAAAGTTAAAACGTAAAATCCTTAAGAACTACCTTCATTTGCTTAGTCCGATTCACAAAATCTAAACTTTCAATTCACACAAAACTTACACTATACAAGTCTCTACTCAAACCCATTTGAGCGTACGGTATGCAAATCTRGAAATGCGCAAAATCATCACAAATCCGCACCATCCAAGCCTCCCAGTCAATTGCTTTTCGGCTAGTTCAAGCGGTCTCGGCCCCCTGGTACGTAACAAATGAAACCCTCCATAAAGATTTGAAAATTTGCAACAGTTAACCAACTAGCCAAATTATAYTATAAAAAATTTCATTCTAAGTTGTAACACCATCCTAATCCTTTAATGTTCCACCTTTCATCATGTACTCTTTCTGACAACCCTCCACGCTGCCTTATGAGGAACTTGTTAATACTAACAAAATTACTAGAGGGTACCATCGTTGGATGATTTCCCCCATAATGTGCTTCATGTTTTGATTTTATTACGCATGTCGCATCATGTGTTATGACTTTATGAGGGTCATCTTTACTTATAGTGCTATCAAATGCAGATTGTAAATTTTTCAAAAAAAAAAAAAGGTTATTTGTAAGCTTTTTGAATTTTAATGTAGCATCAATATCAATCAATATCATATTTAATGTTTTGTCAACATTTATTTTTATATGCAAGTTAAATAATTTWAAAAAAAAACATAATATACCTAATGTTGTTTTGTATAATAGATTATTKTTATCTATTTTAAGTGACATATTTATTATTTAATTTTATAATTATTACTATTCTATAATAATAATAATATCTACTGTATTTATTTTTACAATTATAATTATACTACTACCATATATATATATATATTTTAGAAAAAAGGTTTCAATTAAAGTCATTAGACTGGTATTTTTTGTGCATGTGTGGAGGGGAAGGGGGATGGAAGGTTGGTTGGAACACGTTTTGTATGTATGGAAAGGATTTGTTGCTGATACATAAAATAATACATATCTCACAATAATTTTTTAATTTATCAGGTGGTAAGTACGTACCTCGAGCAGTTCTTGTGGATTTGGAACCTGGAACCATGGATTCGGTAAGATCTGGCCCTTTTGGTCAAATATTCCGACCAGATAACTTTGTTTTTGGGCAATCTGGTGCAGGCAATAACTGGGCTAAAGGACATTATACGGAGGGTGCTGAGTTAGTGGAATCAGTGCTAGACGTGGTCAGGTACATCAACACTATTATTAAATTATTMSACTTTTAAMTTCCACATTGATTATAACGAAAACAATATTGTCTTTCAGAAAAGAAGCAGAGAGTTGCGACTGCCTGCAAGGGTTCCAACTKACTCATTCACTAGGCGGTGGAACTGGTTCCGGCATGGGCACTCTTTTGATATCAAAAATTCGTGAAGAATACCCAGACAGGATCATGACTACATTTAGCATCGTTCCTTCTCCCAAGGTAAATCTAGTTATATGTTCAAAATGCCTTCCGAGTTTTTTWAACTGCATGAATATATTAGTTTCTATAATCTAATCAACCATATCTGACACAGGTATCTGACACAGTCGTGGAACCATACAATTCTACATTATCTGTCCACCAGTTGGTAGAGAACACCGACAAAACATTTTGCATTGACAACGAAGCCCTATATGATATATGCTTCAGGACACTGAAGCTCACAACACCTACGTACGGTGACTTGAATCACTTGGTATCGGCGGCAATGTGCGGTGTGACCACTTGTTTCCGGTTTCCCGGGCAGCTCAATTCAGACCTCCGGAAGCTGGCTGTTAACATGGTTCCATTCCCGCGTCTACATTTCTTCATCACTGGCTTTGCGCCTCTAACATCCCGAGGAAGCCAACAGTACCGTGCGCTCACCGTTCCAGAACTGGTGCAGCAGATGTTTGACGCCAAGAACATGATGGCTGCATGCGACCCCAGACACGGCCGGTACCTGACGGCTGCCAGTATATTCCGGGGACGTATGTCCATGAAAGAAGTCGATGAGCAGATGCTAAATGTACAGACCAAGAACTCTAGCTATTTCGTCGAATGGATACCAAATAACACGAAGACCGCGGTCTGCGATATACCACCCAGGGGTCTTAAGATGTCAGCCACATTTATCGGCAACACAACAGCCATCCAGGAGATGTTCAAGCGCGTGTCTGAACAGTTTACATCCATGTTCCGGCGCAAGGCGTTTTTGCATTGGTATATAGGTGAGGGTATGGATGAGATGGAGTTTACTGAAGCCGAGTCAAACATGAACGATCTGGTATCTGAATACCAACAGTACCAGGACGCGACCGTCGATGAGGATGGTGAAGGAGATGACGACGATGAGGATGCCGAAGCTTAAATCCTGAACGTCTATATTCGATAACATAGAATTTATGAAATAAAACAATATTTATACCAAAACTCATTAATTTTTTATAAATATTTCAATTATAAATCCTAAAAAATCATACTATAAAAAAGAAAATAGAATATTTAAATTTTTGAAGAAGTTAAAATCAAAAAACCAAAAATTATTCTGAAGTTGACTCGATGACAAATTAAAATCTGTTTTTAGAATTTTTATCGAGATCAATCGGTATATTTCAATGAAACTTTGTCTAAATTCGTATGTTCCTCGTGTGTTAGACAAAGACAGAATATCATTATTCCCAACCTCTTTAAATGAATCACTSGTATTGATAATATGTTCCCGGCATGATAAAACAACGTTTATAAAAATTAATTGCCAAAAATCAGYGAGACAAATATATAAAACAGTTTTTCATCCACCCTCGTTCCTCTCTTTTCATATTGTAGTTAACTTCCAATATTGAATTAGGAGGTTGTCAACACATGTAAAAGCAAAAAAAAATAAATGGTTTAATTCAAAATCTTACGTATAATAACTAAGTGTCAAGCGATATATACATTTTTTTTTTCTATGGAAGGATGGTCAATAAAAACTTAGGTACAATTTATTTGTAATAAAATAACTATAAAAATATTTCTTATTACAGATAAGATAAAAAAATAACGCACTGTTCTGAGTATTTTATCGGCGTTTCGTCAGATGTACTATGTACGTAAATTATTGACATTATGCTATATTTTTGTCAAATGTAAGTCCAACCTCCCATTATATATTACTAATTATGATATAAATATCCTTAAAAATAGATGCACACTGCCTCTGCTTAGAATCGTTTTTCGTTTGGAATGATGTATCAAATCGTTCAAATTTTAACATAAAAAAATCCATTACAGTGACTTACTCAATGATGAGATTTATTTGAAATCTACWGTACACTATTATAAAGCAGACTCTTCCATGTTATTTTTTAACAACTTGAATTTATTAATACTACTATACTATTTAAATTACTCCCATATTTAGTTATTAATTATTTATCAATTAAATTACATCTGTGGTCTAAATGGAAACTTTTTGGAAATATTGTTAGTTACTTTGCTGCTGCAGTACGATTGCATAAGATGTTATCTTCCTATACAGAGGCTATAGCTGATTATATAACTCATCTTCGAACACGTCTAGGATAATTCAAAGTAAACGTACGACTCATTAATATCATCAGCGTTAAAACGTACGAGTTGSAGTTCTATACAGTCATTTCCTTTAACATAAAAATATWAATTTTAATTTTAATTTTCTATTAATCATTGAGTGCTTAAAATCTATATTTATCTGTTATATTATTGTAATATTGTTACTTATTTAGTAGGTATGTCAGTTTCTAAAACTCACAATACTAGACACACAATACAAATAACAGAAATATTATCTTAACATTTTTGCGCATAAATAGTTTTCAAAATTCTCACTGGAAATATTTGGATACATAAATATAAATAAATATATATTTATATTTTTTATGTTTAACAAAAAATTCGTATCACATTTTTAAAGTTTTTGTCACTATATTTATCATTATCAACATTGTCATTATCAATTATTATTTTACAATCGTTATACTGTAGGTGTATATCGTATATGTGTGTGAGTGTGTAAGTGTATATGTGTATGTTTGTGACTGTATGTTGCGCATCGTCACAGTGATTATTTCTTTTGTTTACACGGAAAAAATATGTGTTTTATGTGTATTACATATCGTAATATAGTATATTGCAGTATGCAGTCGTGTTTTACATCCATACATATTCAACACAATATTTTTAAAATTCTATTTTAAATAAACAATTAATTAATACGACTCGGTTTTTATAGGAACAATATAGGCTTTTTTATTTTCAGTGCTCGAAATAACAAATCGTTCAGTACCGAAACGCTTYAAATAATATATAACTAAAAATGAGTTTATAAAGGTAGAAGGAAAACTTATTAATTTCAATAGTTATTATTTATTAGGTTTTATTAAATATTAGGTAGGCRTGTCAAGATAAGTATAAATTAATACCCACTTTTTAAATTAAAAACAATAAAATTGAATTAAATATTACATGACGATCTTAATTATTCGTAATTTTGATATTCAATATTCATCATGATAAAATAATTTCATTTTCGGATTATATAAAACAAATTAATAGTATAACACACATTTAAAGAAACAAAACGTTTAAAAATAATATTATTACCAATGATCTTCAACTTAATGATTTTTATGATACGCTAAAACAGCGTTCCGGAGTGGATAGGTGTTTCTCCGAGCACTGATTATTTTGTCTTATTTCAAAAATCAATATCGTTTTATTTGATTTGTAAAATGTTTTAGTTAATTACAACACAGTTTAACGAGATAGAAAGAAAGAGAGCAAATCCGTGTCGCAACTTACACGTTACAACAAAACAATATAATATAACTAATTTAACAATTAAAAATTATTCTATATAATATTAATAGAAATATATATTTATATATATATATACATATATAGACATGATTATTAACTTTATAATATATGTATATATGTATATATATATATATAAATATATATAAACATATATAATTATTATTATCATCGTTTAATATTTTTATTGTCTGCTGCCAATTAAATTTATAGGAAAAGAGCATTCGTTAGTGCGGCGGTGTTGGTATATTAACTATTTTAAATAATTTAAATATTAATTATAATACACACACTTATTATAATTGTATATTATATTATATTTATATATATTTCAAACGCGTTCAAATTATACATTTGTTGACCAGCAGTCTTGTATTTTAGTTCAAAATGAACATTATTAATAACATAATAAATTTCTAATAATAATAGTTTATTTTTTTTTTTAATACCAACAAAGCCAACACCTCAACAATTTGCAAGATTATATAGATTTATAATAATTATTATAATATATTATTATCGTTTGTTGAATACACCCTGCACAGCTGATTATCTAATTTATTAGTAATTCAATCAAAAAAAAAAAATAAAATAAAATACATAGTAATAAAATAAATAAATAAATAAATAAATAAATAAATAATAATAATAATAAAACTTATTTAATAATATTATAATAGTACATTTTTAAAATTACAAAATATAACAAATAGATAGCGAAGAGGATGGGAGATATAGGCTGTTTGTCTATAATAATGTATATYATATATACATACATACACACGTAATATATAATAATATTATATGTAGGTATATTGTATACATATTACACTAATAGCATTAAAATTATTTGTATTATATATTATCACAGCGGAAATAGCAAACGGCAGTGGCAACAATTTTGAACGAGTATAAAACTGATTTTTAAACTAAAATCAAGAAATTAGACAGCAGATTATGTTATCTACCTATCATATACGTTACTTATGATTTTTTCATTATTAACACATAAATTGTATTATTTAAATTAAATGTTATATTGTTGCCACCGGTGTTGCTTGCAGTTATCTTTTCTCTCGACTCGTCATCACTCATCAAACACAATAAATAAAATCTACTTTAAGTAACAACAACAGTCTTTACAACAATTCTATCGTGGTGGTTATCGTTATTATTAATAATATTATTATTGTCTTTATTTTTACTATTAATGCCAAAATTATCGATAAACTTATTATTACTGTTAAATTGTTTTTCACTATTAACACTATTAATTTGGTTCCGACGGACACTGGTATTTTGAGTCCTTCTTCTTTTTCGTCGTCTTGTTTTCCTCCACCACCAGTCTTTTTTGTTAAAGCTATCRTTGTTATTATCACGATATTCAACAGAAGTAATATTGACAGTCTCCCTACTGTTACTGTCGTCATTGTTAACCATGTTTGCTTGTCTACGACGCCTAAGACTCCGTTTAACAACATCTGGCTGTAATTTCGTATCTTTAGGTTGACTACTGGTATTTTCGTTAGAAATGTGATGAGACTGATAAGTAGACACATTATAGTTGACGTCTGTGGTTGATGATTGATTTGATGCACTGGCAATAGCACTATTATTGCAGTGGTGCACGTTGTAAGAACAACATAGTACTCCGTCCTAAAAATAAACATTGTTTATTATTCACTAACGACAAAATGCAAGTTGGACGTCGCCGACAGATGCTCGTTATTTTGATGCCATGGATGCAACCAAAATAAAAACTCTCTGTCGGCGGAAACCAAGTATATATATTATATTTATATATTTGTATATAAAACAAAAAATTGTGCGCTGTCTAGTAATTTTTGCAAAGAGCATCATCATATTATACTACTATTTTTTACTGCAAGTTMTTATTTTTATCCCACTTAGTAACCGCGAACGATTAACAAAAATATTTTAATTCAAAATAACACGAGAGCAAATTTAAGTGCATGCGTGCGTGCTTTAAGAACATTATAACAATAATTGTTCATTAGTGTAAAAATTTTAACGAGAAAAACAAATTATACAAGACAATATTACGTGCTACCGGGTAAAATCGTGCAAACTAATGTTATTAGGTGTGCATGCGTGGTGGCGGTGTCTTTGATGGTTGGTATAATAACAATATGCAACGGCTGCAACGCGCTTAAACGCTGAAACATCGAACGGTATATCGACATCGAAAACATGATTTACGATGAACGGGTTGAGATAAAAATCTTTAAAAAGCTGATAAATATCGTACTGTAGAAAAAGATAATAAATTGATGTAATACATTAAAATAGCAGTAGAGAAAGCCGAAATATATAAAGGTTATATTGGATAAAAAAAAAAGATGTGAGAGTTTACCGATGCACACAACACGCGATATTGCTCACCGATTGGGCGCAGTACGGCGGCACCTGAATGGAAACACACAAAACTTATATTAACACACACACAAACTAATAAAGAAAAAAAGTCGAAAATTTATGATAATACATTTATAGGTAGTCGTGTAAGACAAA